CAGTGGAAGACTGAACTCCATTGAACATCTAAATTGGATTACTTTGTTTTTCTGAGATGCAAATTACATTCTTCCACTGGATACGGAATCATCATTGCTAGGATTGTTGCTGGTTAACATAAGACCGCCCTTAAAACGTGGACATTTGTACTAGTGTAGGTCTTGCCATTAATCTTTTGTGCGTAGTACGCACATTTATGTGAGTATTTACGAATTTAACACAGATATGGGGGATTAGATCATCACCTACTCTCAGTCTTAACCCCTCATGCTTCAAATGTCTCAAGGGCGGTCTCACGTTCATGGCGCTATTACGTTTCCGTGCCGGTGGTCAGGGCCTTCTGAGCAACGGTTTTGCCCCTCCTCCAATGGAACCAGGGACAGGCAGCTCAGCGGGCATTGATGACATGTATCCACCGCCACCCACATCTGCAGGTCCTACTCCACCCCATCAACAGCAGCCAATGGGAGGTGGTGGCGGTGTAGGGGCTGTCAGTCAGCCCACATACTATCCCCCACCCACTTTTTAACAACAACTCCTTTCCCCTCGCCCAGTTCTTCAAGCTCTGCATTCCTTCTCCTCCAACTACTCCACCCGATGTTGTCCACGAGGTGTTGTATGATTGTGAGGGCACTGCATTTTGCACTTCTGTTGTGACAAATTCAGCGCTGTTAGTTTCCTTCAACCTTTCTTCCTTCTTACCTTTCCTCCAGTTCTGTGCATTTCGATTTTACTTTGTCTGCATTTGTTTAAGTTGCATTCCCTTTCCTCCTCATGGTTACGAGGTGTGAAAGTTACTGCTATTAACACTGATACTAGTATAGTAGTTTCCGTTGACTGCATTTTATGGGGCATTATTGCGATATTTGCAGTGCATTTAATTCAGGTGCAACTACAGTTAGGTTGTGGTGGAAATGAAACTGCTCCGTCTAATAATTTCAACTTGGTCTCAATACAAATCTGGACGTCTAATCTGGATAGCAAGTAAAGACTAGAGGAATACATTGAAGTAAAACAAATGACTTGCAGCCTTTGCAAGATTCTGCTTATTCTTTGCAAAATATGCTTTATGCTTGCTGTGAATCTTGGAACATTTATGCGTATGCTAGATGGAGGTGTCTCGGAAGTGTCTCCGGTAAAGACTGCTTATTATCGCGCCTCTCTATTGGCTGCGTAGACAAGGGTGGGTGACACAATGATTATGCTTTGAGAGGATATGACTTTGTACTGGCGGTCCAAGTGTTAAACCTACTTAACTATGGCTCAAGCGCGGGTAACCTCACTACATTAGGGTCTTGTATA